TAAAAAGATGGCATAGAGACGACGGATTGTGGATATTATCAATGCAAGTGATATGTTTTGCAATAAATAAGGTATAAAGTTCTTAGATATACAGTATAATGAAAGCCATTCCAAGTAAATGCAGCTTCCTGTATCAGTGTTAGAACATTTCACAACGAGGCTTTTTCCATTTGTCTGCAATCTGAACGTTGTGACATTTATTCGTGTGCTTCATACTGCCGAAAAGATGCAATTAAATTTGATTGTTATCTGTTGAAGTTAGGCGCATGCTTTGCGTATGAACAATCAAAGAGTTCTTTGTGCTTTGCTGGCTTCACGTACTTTCAGTCCTTTGATTTTTAAAATCTGACATACGAAGAAATTACATGCTATTTACTTTACTGGAAATAACTAATGTTAAGAATACTAGTTACTTCAATGTCAAGATTTGGTCAAAAATGTGAAGCCGGAACAGCCCGCAAATCTGTGCATAATTAATAATTATAAGACTTAGCGTACAATTTGGTTATGAATTTTATCTGTTAAATAAGAAGATTCGTTACACAAACAAAATACCAAAAATCTTAAGGCTTAGCAAAGTCATGACAAAAGAGATAGGGTGGAGGTCTTTTTTGGGTGGGGGGTTAAGTTGCACAAACACAGTATAAGTCATATGACGACTTTCCAGATTTACTGGTGGAGGAAGACCTCAGGTGCCTTTCGTGACTTATTTTCAGGGACGAACGAGTAGAACCACCAACGTTCTGTAAGCTAGCTGGATAGCTTACACACAAGAAAGAATCCAAGGTTCCTGTCGGCATTCGAACCCACAGCGGTGAGGGAGGGCAGAGGTTAAACATCACATGTAAATAAGAATAATTCACTACTTTCTAATTAGATTGTTCAAAATCAATTATACTTCGTGTTATAGATGATGAAAGTAGTTGTTGCAGCATTAAAATGAGCCGCGTCACGACAAAACCAACATAGTGCGTTTGCGACCAGCATGGATCCAGACCAGCCTGCGCGTCCGCGCAGTCTGATCAGGATCCATGCTGTTCGCTATCAGTTTCTCTACTTGTAATAGAGTTGGTAGGCGGACAGCATGGATCCTGATCAGACTGTGCGGATGCGCAGGCTTTTCTGGATCCATGCTGGTCGCAAACGCACTATGTTTGCTTTGTCATGACGCGGCTCAAATATAGAAATATGCTATATTACGGTGATAATCCTTTAAAAAGTTGGTGCGACGTTAAACCAAACCAAAACTTATAATATTTTGTTCATTAATTTGACAGCAGGGTCGGACTTCACTTTCATCGCATCTTATTACAGTTATAAGGCCGTGCCTGGAAGTTTTGGCTTACACTACAAAGTCAGGAATTGAAAATTTAAAAACAAAAATACAAAACAAAAACTATAATAACAAGCAAATATTGCGGTGAATAGAACTTAGAATTAACACTATTTTAGCTCGAATATTCGCAGAATAATCGAGCTAATGCAGTCACCCATTTGTCAGCGTCGGCGTCCCTGTGGTTAAGTTTTTGCGTGGTAGCTGGTATCTCTATAAACACTGAAGGGAATGGATTGAAACTTCACACACTTCTTCTCTGTGATTATCAAACATGATTGGCACAAGTCCCATAACTCTGATTTGCTTTTGTGCATAATTATTCCCCTTTTTCGACTAAGAACTTCTTGGTTACGTTTTTGCATGTAAGCTGGTATCTCCATAACTACTGAAGGGAATATATTGAAACTTCACACACTTGTTGTCTGTGATTATCTTACATTATTGGCATAATTCCCATAACTCTCTTTGCTTTTGTTCATAATTATTCCCCTTTTTCCGACTTAGAACTTCTTGGAAAACTTTTTGCATGTAAGCTGTTATCTCCAAAACTACTGAAGGGAATGGATTGTAACTACACTTTCTTGTTTTCAATGATAATCTAAGATAATTGGCACAGGTCCCATAACTTTGATTAGTTTTTTGCATAATTATGCCCCTTTTTCGACTAAGAAATTCCTGGTTAAGTTTTTGCGTGTAAGCTGGTATCTCCATAACTACTGAAGGGAATGGATTGAAACTTCACACACTTGTTCTCTGTGATTGTCTAACATGATTGGCACAAGTCCCATAACTCTGATTTGCTTTTTTTATAATCATGCCCTTTTTCGGCTTAGAAATTCTTGGTTAAGGTTTTGCTTGTAAGCTGGTATCTAAGGGTTTGTGCTTTTTTGGGGACAATTTTATGCATTCAAAATAATAAAGCAGTGATTTACTCGATAAAACATCTTAATAACAAGCCTTTGTACCTTTTCGAACAATTTTATGTATTCATATAGGTAACCATTATTATACTAAATGAAACACCCTTGTGACAACTTTTTCGAATAGTCGAGCATTACTGTCCTCCGACAGTTCTTGTATTGTTTATGTTCATTCATATAAACAATAATTATAGATACAAGCAAGAAAAGAAACAAATACTAGTACACATGGATTGGGGCACGGATTACAACAATATCAACAAACGGCCCGACGAGACTTTAAGGCCGACGTCTCGTGTGATTGTGTTTTACACTTTGCATATGCATGATATGTAAAAGAACCAGTTGTTTCTTTTAGAAAGGAAAATTGTCTTTATCTAATGGCTTTAAAGGGACTCCACTGAGGTGTTTTGACATGACCGGACTGGAAATTTTTTTTTTTTTTTTTTTCAAATTAATGTTTCATTTGATGTAGGTCTGACCAATAAGTTGTGTGCAAAATTTCACATCAATCGCACTTTTCGTTTTTCCAGAATGATTTTTCAATTGTAAAAAGAGATCCAAGAATTGAAAAAAAACAACGTTGCAACGCTTTTCACTCAAATCGAGCTAAAAAGCACAAAAATACGATTTTTAATTAATGTTCATCCTGAGTATATTTCTTAAATATCTTTTGCATATCTTTCTGTTTTAAGTGCCCAATGTGATCTTTTTTGAGAAATTCAATTTTTATGGATTTTGGGCCTCAGTGGAGTCCCTTTAAAAATAAAACTAACAGTCGCCTACATATATCGTACATGGCACTGTCATGAATGACCATGAGGCAATTGTGCCTTATCTGTTCATGATTTAATAAAGAATCACTGAATCAGCAAAAATCGAGAGAGTCCTTGAATTCATGTTACTTTAAATAATAATTTATCAGAACTTATCGGAAACTTACGAGGATACCCGAATTTACACTACGCATACATGCAGGTCCCTAGATGACCATAATATGTCTTCCTTTATAGTTTCAAGTTTCAAGTTTATTTCAAAGTACATTTGGACAATATGTCCATGCATACACAGTACATATAACAAAGCATACAATACAATCAAATGGTCAATGTCAAACTTTATAAAACATATATCATTAAGTTACACAGTATTTTTAGCAATCAGAGAACGTAAACTATAGATAGAATATACTATCAACATGTCTCAATTCATATACTGGTAAATAAATACTAAGGAAAGATACCATCCTATTAATAAGGAAGTAAATCACAAAACAAAACGAAAATAAGTGTATGTAAGATACAGTTATACAGCGTTTGGGACAAACTTTTGATTAACTGTAAAGAATAGTGTTTCGAACATCGAAAGCTTTAAATATATACATTGATAAGTTTCTAATTTCTATTTCATTTTCTGAATTCATCAATGTAACAAATTTAGGTATATTTGGTCTTTTCCAAAAGTGTTTTTTATATATATTTTTTTCGTAATTCATTATATAGAGAACATTCTAAAATAAAGTGAAATTCATCTTCCAAAATAAAACAATTTTTACATTTCCTATCATCAAAAGGTATAGCACTAGGTTTATTCCACCTGCCGGTTTCAATCTCGAGTCTATGTGAAGAAACTCTTAGCCGGGACAGAGCAATTCTAAATTTTTCAATATTAATACAGTTTAAATACTTTTGAAATTTAAAATCTGCAAATATTACATATGTACGAGCTCTAGTTGAGTTATTTATTTCTGAAAACCAATTTTGGATAAAAACATCATTTACTCTTTGTTTTACTAAACTAATAAATACATCTACATTGCCTACGCCTTGAGATAACCATACATCATTAAAACCAAGCGACTGTAATAAATCTTTAACACTTCTAACCCATGTTTTTTTTGTTAGGTCTTACCTGTAACTCTGTACAATAAATCATAAACTATTTTAACATATTTTATATCTTCAAGCTGTATAATTTTAAGCAAGTATTTTATTACACTTACAATTCTTCTGCATTTCAAATTTGTTCTACCTAATTCTCCATAAATAAAATTGTTCTGAGTTTGTAGTCTGACGCCTAACATTTTTTTACAAAAATTTAAATGCACTTTTGCTAATTTACAACAATCATATATACCGCTTACCTCTGAAGCATAATTCAAAATTGGTGAGATCAATTTATCAAAAAGGTATAGTTTATGTTTCACAGTTATACATGGGAATTTAATCAAATCTAGTTGTAATTTATATAATGCCTTCAAAGCCTGACCAGATAATGTTTCAAAAGAAGTATTAAAAGATCCACCAGTTGTAAAGACTACTCCTAAATAAGTAAATTTTTCGGCAATTTCTAAATTTTCTCCTTTATATACGAATGAAATGTCTTAATCTGCCTTTTCTGAAAATCATTATTTTAGTTTTCTTAATATTTATCTCCACTTATCACAATAATTCTCCAATAACAATAAACCTTTATGTAAGCCTTCTTCTGTTTCAGATAGAATAACGATATCATCTGCATATAAAAGTAAAAACAATTTTAAGAAACCTAAATCAACTCCTTCAAATTTATTCATAATAAAATATTCTTCTATATCATTAAGATACATGGCGAACAAAAAAGGTGATAAAGACTCTCCTTGGGGGCGCCTAACACACATGAAAATTCTTCACTCAAAACATTTTGATATTTTATTCTGGATCTTACACTTTCGTACATTACATTTCATACATACATTGTATTGTTGTTACTTTAAAATAAGTGTGTCTGTTATAAATAACGAAAACAGAAATTATCGGAAATACACGAAGATATCCGAATTTACACGATGCGATCAGATAAGGGGATTGCAATAAGTGTTTCTTAAATAATCGAACACGTGTAACTGTTTGTGGTATTGAAGTATGGATTACACAGGTTTGTTATGTAGGTCGATCACGTGACTGAGCGATGCTCGAGCTTTTACACATGTAACTTAAAGTTGCTATTCGTGTGATATTGTCCTCGGGCGGCATGTTATTATGTAAACTCCGTGCAAATTTACCGTAACTTGTCCATAGCCAATGTGGTTTTAGGAGGGAAGGACACAACTTCACGGTTTGAATTTATTTATTTATTTATTTATTTATTTATTTATTTATTTATTTATTTTTGGGGTTTCAATAATTTTCTTTTGCATCTATGTTTAAATAAATGATTACAGTAAAGTTATGCCGTCGAAATTCCATGATAGATTACATTATTTTATTTTTTTGACAGTTGAAGCTTAAAATTAATTTCATCTGTTCATAGACAAATACATTTGTATTTTTAGCAGTACATAACAAATGTTAGTCTTTCTTTTATTATTTTTATAGAATTGTGTTTACAAAACGCAGATTAAGTTTGAAATTATGTTATAACATTTAAATATATAAGATTTTTTACTGTTTGAGATGAGTTTCTTTATAATGATTTTGTCATTAGGAAGGGTAGCGGTCAGACTATGTGATGATTAAATCGTTGTTTCACAGGTACTAGAGGCAGGTGGTCAATGGTATGAGGGGTTTTATTCACAGAGGAGAGGAATCGGAACGTATATACTTCATGTATGATTACACCTGGGACATGACTCCAGTTACCTCCCCTACTACTACCTACTTGGTGAATTGGAGCAGGTTTGAATTCTTTCAACAGTTCATGGTAAGCTGTTATTTAGAAAAACGCCACACTAATTGCATTTTTTTTTCAATTTAAAAAAAAATGTAAAAAAGAATAATAAAAGGTTTATTTTTATCAGTTTATTACACAGTCAAGCTACTATTTCCTGACCGACTAGACACTACAGAAGGTCAGCCTGCACTTGAATATGAAATGAGCCGTGTCATGACAAAACCAACATAATGGGTTTGCGACCAGCATGGATCCAGACCAGCCTGCGTATCCGCGCAGTCTGATCAGGATCCATGCTGTTCGCTTACAAACCCTATAACAAGTAGAGAAACTGATAGCGAACTATTACTATACTATTTTTACGGAAATTCCCTTCTTAGCGATGTCTCGGATTACCTTGTCAAACTGCATTTATTCAGACAAAATATACCTAGCATGCACTTTGGACCAGTATGCATGAAGGGTCGCATTAAAGGTGCATAAGATGAGCCAAAATATTTCAAGAATATCAAACTTGGGAACAATGTATTAAGATTTTAAGAAAAGAGAAAATGTAAAAAGATCGAAGATAAAAGTTATAATTTCCATGTTATTTGCGATACATGACTGATTTTACGGGGGGAGGGGGATCACTATATTTCTACTGCGTTTTTACTGCGTAAGTAGGGAAGTAAGGGCTATTTTTGCATTTTTTAACATCTTTTTGGTTATTTATTTGGGTTGTAAATGTCGTTTAAAATGTGTATATTATTTTATTTGTTCACTTCACAATAAAAAACATTTCATGATTTTCAATTAAATTATCAGTAATTTGTAGGCGTGCTGCTTTAAGGCGAATTTGTTGATGAGGTGTTGTATGGCTGTATCATTGCTTGCGATGTTTTGTTTTGTTTTTGTTTTTTCAAAAAATTGTGTATGACTTCTTGCGAGTTTCTGTCCTGATCTCACTAGCAAGTACTTTTCTTTGGGAGGTCACACAAAACAGGTCAATCAAGGGATTTTGGTTGTAACCAAAACCTTTGCGTTATTTGATAGTAATTGAATACTTAATTTAATGTCAGCACCTAACAAGCCTGTTTTTTCTTGTATGGTTTTTTAACCATGTTGCTTGTAAGTCAATGGCGGGAGGTACGTGTTTTTTTCTGCTCTTCCAATAGAATAGATTCGGGTAGCTATGACTTTCTTATAGCGCATTTTGTATGCTCCCCAAAGGGTGAGCATATAGTCGCCGCTTTGTCCGTCCGTCTGTCCGTCCGCTTTTCTTGTCCGGGACATAACTTTGAAACAACAAGAGGTGTCAACGTGAAACTTTGTAGTTAGACAGATCTCATTGAGAAGGTGTGCAGTGCATAAGAACGTAACTCTGCCTTGCCTAATTTTTGAATTATTGCCCTTTGTTCATTTTTACACTTTGAACTTTGTCCGGGACATAACTCTTAAACTATAAGAGGTATCAACATGAAACTTTGTAGGTGGATAGATCTTTTTATTGTTTTAGGCGGGGGAATGGTTGGTGGGAGGTTAATGTATTTTTTTTTCAATATTTTTTTAAGATTATAATTATTATTTTTTTATATATATATGCACAGGATCACAATTGAAGTATAAGGAGGGCAAATTGATTCAAATGGTTCCGCAATAATTGATACAGATTTATATATACCACAGAACGAAACTAGTAAGATATTCACATACACTTAGTCAGAGCCCGCAAGTAAGATATATATGAGCCGCGTCACGACAAAACCAACATAATGGGTTTGCGTCCGCGCAGTCTGATCAGGATCCATGCTGTTCGCTTACAAACCCTATAACAAGTAGAGAAACTGATAGCGAGCAGCATGGATCCTGATCAGACTTTGGTTCAGCGTTGGTTTTGTAATGACGCGGCTCATATAAATTACTTACACATTTGCTAGAACTCGTACAATTATGATCTTACACGTGCATCATATTTTCTTACATGTATATCACATTTAGAGAATGTCTGAACGATTGTCAGTGGAGTTGCTTAGGAAAATATTAATTGCAATCAAGTTATATAACATGTATATTAATCAATGGATGGCATACTCCCATGGATCTTTATTAAACATGCTTTCCGTTAAACAAAATAAAAATTCGACACACGTGTTTCATGTCACTGATAAGACATGATTTTGGGAAAAAAACTTTGTTAAAAATGTATGTAAAACAAGACACTAAGGAAAAAATATGTTTGAAATAAATCAATGCTTAACAAATTGTAATTCATATATTCAGAAACATTTGAACATGCTTCTTATAAAATTCACTATTTTCAGCTCGCAACAATTGAATGAGATACAATTCGTTGACACAATCTTACCGTGTAAGTGGTGATGAAAGATGAAGGCGATTTTTGATGGTGTTGTTGGCGGTGGTGCTGGTGGTGGTGGTGTTGGTAGTGGTGATGACGATGGTGGTGAGGATGATGGTGGTGGTGGTGGTAGTGGTGTTGGTAGTGGTGATGATGATGGTGGTGAGGATGATGGTGGTGGTTGTGGTAGTGGTACAACTACTGCAGGTTGTGTGGATGTTGATGGCGGTGGTCTTGATAATTTGTTGTTAGAAGGCAAGTGAAAAAATTATATTATATGAAAACTGTTCTGATAGAGACAGTAGCTTGCATAGATATTAAGGTAAACAGTTCTATTTACTTCTTATTCTTTAATTACAAATCTGTTTTCATAATTTTATATAATATCTGAATGTACTTTAGTTTCAAAAATTGAGAAAAAAATGATTATTATTGATATATTTTGTTTTGTGGCTGACATACATTGTTACTACAATTTCTGCCAAGGGTTGTTAAATGTATGAGGCCAACAGTTCCATAGCAAAATTTAAATAGGCGCTTGTGTTAGTAGTTTTCACTCCGGATCACGGCAGTAAGCCACAATGAATTAATCAGAGCACAGTTCAGCCACCACATAGTCTCTGGGCATGCTTGTCAAAGGGTTTACAAGTACCAGTTGTCTTTACTTTTGCAGGGAACTGATAACTTCTGTTCATGCAAAAGTAGAATGGCCGTAGATCAACCACATCGAAACTGACCTGCACAGTCTGGAAATCGAACCCGTGTTGCCCGATTCACAGTCCAACGCCCTACCTATTCAGGTAACCGGACGGCACAACAGTTTCATTTTTACAAAACTCTAAAAACTGTATTGATAGTTTTAAAAAGGTAAAGATATTTTTGCATTACACTTGCGCTTTTAAAGAGACTTGATACATTTTTATTTAGATAAGCAAGTTAAAAAGTTGATATTTATGTTTAATTTGTAACTGCATTCTCTTACAGATTGTTATTGTGGTCAACTTAAAAAGGTAAGGGTAATTTTCGTTTTTCATCAGTTTGGTAATTTTCAGATTTTAACCTTTATTACGAATTTAGTTTCAGGATAGCTGAAAATGCTGTGAGAAGAAACAGTTTCCCACATATGCTGCACATTTCATGTCAGTTGAATTAAAACACCATTACTGTTGAAAGCTATTTCAGTTTGGAAAAAATGGCTTTAATTTATATTGTCTATATCAAATAACAAAATATCTATACATATCAATACGTACGTATGAGAGTGTAAAAGTTGCGCATGTGCGAACAAATATTTTATAGAGAATATGAACAAGAAACCGTGAATCATATTCATATGGGTTTTGGTGCTGTTTTTGGTTGTTATAATTGGACTTCATTGTATATTTTAGAATGTGGCTTTGGTTGATTTTAATAGGGTTGTATTTGGTTGACTTTGTTTTATTGTTCTTTTTGGTGTTTTGTTTATTTTGACTACTTTGTTATATTATTTGTGTAGATTTGTTTGTTTGTTCCTTTGTTTGTTTTCGTTTGTTCTTGTTGTTTCGTTTTTACGAGGGCTGTTCATGTTTTTTGATTTTTTGACTTGACTTGTACATGTATTGGTACATGATGTCATAGATGGTTTGTTCATGGTGTTTGCAAGTTCATGCACTCAACTCATAGTAATTGTTTTGTATTGTTTTACATGTATATATGTATATATTGCTTTATATACATGTGTATACAATATACGCGTATTTTGAAATACGAATTTGAGTCAATATAAGTGAATGGCAATGATGCATTTAAATACGAAAGTTTGTCATTTACAGGGCCATCTGTACGGCGGACTATTGTAGAGCAATACCATTTTAACAACAATAGTAACAATTCTTATCAACAACAGCCGACATATGTGTCTCCCAAAAGGTTGTTAATATGACGAGGTTTTACTGTATCTAGTCAATTTAATTGTAAACTCATGTTTTACAAACTTTTATTTTAAGTTATCATAATAACCTTGGATGTTTCAGGAGAAGATCCATGGTCGAATGAATGTAACACAGCTTACTAGAACCGTGCTGAATGGAAATGTTTGCAGTTTTCAAGACTAACTATTTTGCCGATTTTGGCAATACATTGGATTCATCAAAATGTTTATTGATATTTTTATTTATCATGTTTACTGATAAACAATTTTTAGAATGGATGAATGACATTTGTTTCACAAGCGAAAAACATTTCTTTGAGTATGGCTGGAAGACCTTGTTCCACAAGCGAACGGGATGCCAATGCATTACTGACCTTGACCTTGAGTATTATTTCAGAAGACAGCCGGAGAAAGCGGAAGTAAGGATGGCATGAAGGTAAATGTATGCATATTATGTATTAAGCTTGAATAATCATTTGACCGAAAAAGAGTGAGAAATAAGTATCTAAGGTAAGCAAACCACTAAGGATAAAATATTACATGTACATGAATGACAGATACTTATAAATGCCGTAATATGACATGGTTATTTTAATTATTTCGATACTGCCAGTTTTATCTTAGGTTAATTATATTATGAGGACGATACTGTAACGATATGTAAAAACGCATTGTACAGAGAATTTAATGTAATAGTCTTTTTTTAAAAAACATATTTTGTTTTTACAGATAATAAATATTTAAGAAAATAAACAGCAACAATTTGAACATGTAAATAAAAGTTGTTTCACAGGTAGGAGGTTATTAATGGTGTCGGAGTTTTTACGGAGGAAAAGTAACGTATGTACATTCATTTTGATTTCTGTTTAGATTTGACGCTGAAGTTCTCTACTATATTGTTTTGTTTGTGTGCATGTGGATTGGAGCAGAAATTTTTATTTCCGTTTAAGGTAAGCTATAGTATATACAGAGGAAAACAAAACTGAATAAACGTTTTCATTTACACCATAAAAAACATAGTAACATTAATAGATATGTTTTCACAAGCTACGATTGAGTTACACTATTTACAGATCTTTTCCGCTTGCTTTCGGAAGGTCGGTGGTTCTACATATATCAGCATTTGAGCCTGAAACGAGGCACGGTGGAACGCCTGCTACTTTTAATGACATGCCGGAAAAGTTTAGCATTGCTTGTGAACAATTAATAATAAATTTGATTTAAAATGTAACGTCATAGACTAGTCAGGGGTGCGAATATATTACTTATGTACTATGTACTTATGTTTTGCCTTTTAACTAAATGACCGAGTATTTAATCAGAAGTATTTTGCTTAAGCTTCTAAATGGCTTTTATAATTTACAAAAAGTAAGAACATGGAATGAATAGTTGTTTCACAGGTAGAGGGTGTTCAATGTAGGAGAACAAAAGAATGTTCATGCACTTCAGTTATGATTGCTGCCATGATGTGACTGCAGTTACAGTTTTTGTACCCTCTGAAGTTCTGTACTATTTGTATTATGTGACTGTGGATTAGAGCAGATTGTTCTTATTCAAGGTAAGCTGTAGTATAGAAAAAAACTACAGTCGTTGCACTTCTTAACTCAAAGACAAACATAACTTTAGCCGCACTTCTATTGCCGTAACAAGATAAGTTGGAAGACGGATTACTTCAGCTTGAACAGGTCCTTACAGCTAGCTTCCGGAAGGTCTGTGGTTCTACTGATATATGCACTTGTGCTTGAACTAATGCACGAAGAGTCATATGAGTTTAAGAATAAAAACAAATTGAATAAATTAATGGTAGAAATAAACATAAGTAAATTTTTAAAGTAACTTCTATTTGTAATTAAAAACAAATGTTTAAAAACATGATTAAAATCATGTCATAAAGTAATCACGAGTGCAACTTTAACGTTTTAACATTTGTTAATTCTCTTTTTAGTTACTGTGTTCCTGTAAAATAATATTATATCATAGACTATTTGTCAGAAGG